ACACTTCTGACTCCTAATGGGCCTGCAGTCCACTAAAAACCTCAGCTCTTTTTCTGACAAATTAGAGAATAAAATCTGCAAACAAAAACTAGAGACAAATATTATATATTTTTCTTCCCAACCTGATGATATAAAAACCATTGTAAAATATATTCTAATTATTTTTACTCAACTCTAGACAATTAAAATATTTTTATGAGCTACTTGGTAGGGTATCATAGATTTATGGACTAGGAAGTAGAAGCAACCTTTAATGGTCAAATACAAATAGAAGTCAAGTCATGCACAAAGAGATGAGATACTCATCATTGATACTGATAATTACACGATCTTAAAACCAATATTTTATTTAGAGTGATAACAAATTCTTTAACTTCCATAAAGTTTTATGTGTTGAGGAAGAAAAGGTCATCTTTAGCAAGATACTGTTAATAAGTTATAAAGCCACAGGTGCTTAAAAAAATAGGGCTCACATGACTAGCCAATTTCATTTTCCTATTGTTCATCCTCCTCTATACCATTTGACAGATGATCTCCCCCATTCCTCTTCCTAGACACCCTTTCCTCCCTGAGTTTTCATTACACTGTTCCCTTGATGGTCCTTTCCCTATTTGTCTGGGCTTTGGTTCCCAATCTTCTTTTCAGGATCATGATTCATGTCTCATCACTTTGCAAGTATATAACCTAAAGCTCTTCCCTAGGCCCTCTCCTTTCTCTTTTGATAACTCGTCAGTTCCCATAGATCTATCATCTCTATGTAAATAACTACCAGAGCTATATATTCTGTTCTAATCAGTTTTGAATTCCTGTCCTCTAGTCTTCTATCACCAACAACCTTATTGGACATCTCCAACTGGATGACCCATTGGCATGTCAAATTCAGCATTTCAAACTAGAACACATTTCCCCCCTCATATTAATCCCTTTTTTCCTAATTTCTCTATTTCTGGGAAGATCAGCCACCATTCTTCACAGGTTCACAATCTTAGAGTCATCTTTTCTCTCTCCTTCAATTCTCGTAACCAATCAGCTACCAATTCTTGTTTGTTCTACCTTGACAGAATCTCTGGCATCTGTCCCTTCCCTCCACTCAGAATAACCACCTACTTTAGGCCCTTCATCACATTTTACCTGCACTGTGGTAGGCTCCTAACTGGTCTCTTTGCTTCAAATCTCTCCCCTTTCCAATTCATCCACCTTACAACTGTCAAAGTGATATCCATAAAGCACATATCTTACCATACCATTCCTCTTCTTTAAGAAGCTTGAGTGATTGCCTCTTGCTTCCTAATTTACTTAGTTTTTAAAGCTCTTCACAATCTAGCTCCAGCTGATTTCTTCCAAATTAATTGTACATTACTCTCTTTCAAGCTCCCTACATGGCTAGCTAAACTAGCCTATGTGTTCTTCATTCACAATGTCCCATCTGCCTCTTAGAATCCCTAGTTATCTTCAAAGATTCGCTTAAATGTCTCCTCCAAAAGAAGTCTATCTCAATTCCCCAACTGCTAGTGAGTTTCCCCCAGAAATTACTTTTCCCCTACTTTGTAAATATTTTGGATATACTTTTCTGCATAGAAGTTGTTTCCCTCCAATAAAATATAAGCACCTTAAAGGCAAGGGCTTTTGTTTTAGTCTTTATATCCTCATTACACTGTAGTAATTGACACATTTAAATGCTTGCTGAATGAATGAGAAAATGATGATTATGAAAATTTATTTGTGAAGGTTGTAAAAGTTGCAGGGTTTTGATACAAAGATGTTCATAACTGACATTTAAGTGATATTTTGGCATGACTTCTGATTATAACTAAGTATTCTGAAACCTATGAAACTTAAAGCCTGTCTTTGCTGCTATTGTAGGGCTGAGATAGTCATGGCCATTAGTGAAATGTATTTTATACTCCATGATCAAACAGAATAACCACTTGAAATTGTGCTAGAGTAAAGAAAAGATCAGCTGTTGTGGGATTGAAATGATCAAGATTGATCCTGTATCATTTTTTAATTGAACATATTTATATTTAATTGATTTTGTCTTGTTACTGCTTAAGTCATGGTTCTTTGTCTCTGAACAGTTCAGAAATTCAGCAGTGCTGTGATGATGAGTTAAGTTTAGAAATCCAGTTCCCCTGCTAATCACTGTTCCATTCTTACCTCAAGGAAATCTGCTTTCCTTGAAGGATGCAGGTATGATACCTGGGAGTCTGGTCCAGCATCTACACAGCACCAAGCTATCCTGGACTCAAACAACAAACACGTCTTAGTCGCAGAAGAAAGGAGGGGGTTGTTGCTAGTCCCTCCTTCCCAATCTCCAACCAATCATACTGATCTCACTATTCATGATGTCCAGCTCTTGTAATCAACCATAACTTGTTCCCTCCCTATGAAGTCCCATTCTTTGTTCTGTACTCCCCAAAACCTATAAAAGAGAAATGTCCCTCTCATTCGGGGTCTTAGCTTTGCTGAGGAAGCCGAGATCCCATTTATTGGTAAATTTGGGCTTTACTAATAAATTGATCATGCTCAGAACTTTGTGTCTCAGTTTACCTTAATTTTAACTGTTATAGGATCTCTAATAATTGGCAGTTCTATTTTTAATTTTATGATTATTCTCTCCATCCCCAGCCCCCTCATCCAAAAACTGGGAATTATGTTAGAAGCTATAAGTAGACTGACAGTAATGGAATCAGCCAACAATAATCAATAACTTTTGGGACACATCCACAGATGACTCCTGCACTACAAGACAGGCCAGTCCTCAAGCCCCACTGCCATTTAGACAGGTCCTTGCCACCCTCTACAAATTCCATTTTAAAGCATAAAACATAAAATAGGATATATTCCTCTGGGGAAAGGTAGCAAGAGTTAGTGAATGTGGGGACAGCAAGTGAGGTAGAAGTTTATTTCAAATTTCTACTCTCAGAAAGTCAAGGTAAGGCAAAAATTAGTTTATATGAAGATATAAACCTTGGTTTAGTCTCTAGTTTAAGTTTAATCACTTCTTAATGCCATGATTTCATGTGACAAATAAATCAGTGCATAAGAAGACAGCAGTACATCACTAGCATGAGATCTTCAAATTAATCTGTCCCCTTTTTAAGTGAAGAAAGTTTTTCAAAGCCAAAGATATTAAAAAGGTAGAGAACACTGTAGGAAGGCTGTGAGAACACCTCACATTTTAATCTGTTATTTCCTGTCTAAATATAAAAGGGAATGGTAGTGATAACTATATTTATACTTCTTTCGTAAGTAGAAAAAAAATTTAAGGGAAAGATAGATAACGAATGTCTCCCTTAAATTAAGCATGTGTTAGGCCCAATCAAAAGTTTAAGTAAGAAGAGCTTTTGAGTGAATCATTGGTAATTGAAAACAAAACACAAGACTACATTAGTACATTTTAACTGATTATATATTTATACAATGATAAAATTCTCACGGATGGACATTCAAAACACAAGCAAATACAACAAAAGAACTCCACAATATTTTGAAACATTTATTCAGGAATACATGTTTATCTTTATTCCTTTCTAAAGACGTAGTTCTAAGTTTATGTGATTTCAGTATAATTTTAAGTTCTTCCTTTATAAGAACAATATGAGAGCTTCTAAATAAAATTCAGCAAATAATGTTGGACAAAATATGGAATGCTTTGAAAAAACCTAGAAATTTTCCTTTGTTCCACTTGTAGATCTACTGATAAACTGAGGTCAAATTATTTAATTTGTTTCTAAACTTTAATTTTGCTATTAGCAAAAAGAAAATATTTCCTACTGTATACACCTTATAACATTAACATAATAATGAAATAACTTTGAAAGTAAATGTATTATAGAAATACTAAGTACAGTGCAGTTATTAATAAATGTGTTATTAGTACATAGTGGACGGAGCAATGGAGTTAGATGCCTTTAGATTGAGAAGCCGACACCTTTACTGAATTAACTGATTTTGACTGTTCTTTAACTGTCCCAATTAGGAAAACAATGTATTTACTTAGGGTATTTCCTAGGGGGAACAGACAGAAGAAGCAAAACAGTTGGAGGAGGAAAGAACCCTAACAGATATGCAAGGTAGGAAACCCTGAAAGAGCAAAATTTAGTTAGAAAACTAGAAAGTTTGTGCTTTGTTTTCGTAAAAACAAAATAAAAAGATTACTTTTATTATACTGTTTCTTGCTTTCAAATTAAACAGGTCTAATTTCACTCATCCGGTTCAGTAGATTATTCATTAAATAAACATTATTAATTTTTAAATTCCTGCAATTTCAGTAGACACAATATTGGCTGTTTCCTATTTGGGATCCCATCAAATGTTATCATTGATTAAAAGCAGAAAGTGTCATACGGTGACTCACCTATGCTGACAGCAAATAAGGTTATCAGTTTCCTACAGAAATCTTAAAACTTGGTTGCTGGACCCCAAGCAACATTGCCCCAGTTATTATCTTGTTCCCTTCTGGGGCAATGATCTTTTCCAAGAGAATCTGGTTTAAATTAATAAAATGTGTTTTGCTAATGGCTCTTGATTTATTCTAACCCAACAGCGCCTATAAAAGCTGAGTTTAGAAGAATCCAGGAAGCAGGATGCATTAAAGAGTACATCAAGAAATAATGGAAAAAGTGGTAATGTGGTACAAGGCCTGGGGAAAAGATAATGAGAGCAATGAGAAATGGTGCTGGAGGGATGAAGAGAACATCTTAATAAAGAGGAGAGAAGAGATACCTTACAGTAACTCTGATTTTCATTTTTAGAAATTAAGCAATGCCCCAAATCCCAATCCTACTCAAACCCTAGGTACACCAAGCTTTCCTAGGCGTCAGCCTGACCGCGTGGCGGGGAGGGACTCACACGTGTTGGAAAATAAACTAGTCAGGAGTTAACCAGAGGTAAGATCCAGGACCGCCTGACCGGACAGTCTAAAGAACCCTGGGGAGGCCAGAGGCTGGGGCTGCAAAAGATTCGGAGGCTGAGGGCAGTAAACGACTGTAACTCACCCCTGAGACTCCGCTGATAGTGCCCCAGAGCCTCCTCCAGGGCAGAGTCCCCCAGAGCCTCCTGCAGGGCAGGGTCCCTCAGGGGCTCCTCCATGGCAGAGTCCCCCAAGGCCTTCGCCATACAGTGACCCTCGGCCCGCAGACGCCCAGGTATGGGAAAGGATCTAGCAGAACCTCGGCGGGAGGCAACGGGCAGACAGTCTCCCAGCTTCCAGACGTCGCTGTCAGAGGGGCGCATGAATAGTAGGACGTGGCTCGCGCGGGCGCTGTCCACCCACGGACCCCCATGATGGATAGTGGAAGTTGTAGTCCCTCAAGTTCACAAACTGCCGGTTTCTAGCCCCCAAAGAAGCCTCCAGCACACTACAATTCCCAGGAGGCACCGCGCATAGGGGAAGAGCCGGTTTGGGCTCCAAGCTTCGGTTGCCTAGAGACAGCTTGGCGGCTCCACCCTCTTTTTTCCTCAGACTGCAACTTTCTCCCTCCCCCATCTCATTTCTTAGGCAATCTGGACCACCTAACTACCAAAAACAAGCTTCTGAAGGCCTTTGCTCTATAGAATTGTGAAAAATGCTCTTGATCCATGGGTTCCCACAGTTAAACAAATGAGAAGATAGGACTCCTTTTTTACGACTTCATTTTCTATCACTACTACCAGAGGTAGCCTTGGCTGGAGGAAAAAAACTCTCAATCTCAAGCGTCAAAGGTGTGGAGTTCATAGAGACTACAAATCCTAGCATGCCAAGCGAACCAGACGTTGTTGTTGAGTTTGCGCACTCCCCCCTGGGATCTGTAGTCCGTGTTGGTTGCAGTCCAAGCTAATGACAGTAGTTTCTTCATTGTTTCTGCTGGTCCTAGGGGCACGCTTGCGCAGTGAGCTGCTGCGAAATCGTGTGGGTGGGACAACGACCCACCAGGCAACTCCTTTTCATTGTCTGCTCTTGGCGCCTGCGCAGTAAGAGATAGCTGGGTGAGGAGGAGGGGCAGGGCCCCCTTCCAGGGCTCTCCTGACGCGCCTGCGCAGTGGCTGGCTGCTCTCTGCCGTTACCGCTATGTGTGGGGCGTGTGTGGAATAACGTTATTGCCGAGCACGGTGAAAGGAACGGGGAGTCCGGGGGCGACGGCAGCGACGACAACTACGGCGACGGGTTGGCGGGGAGGGGACGGCGTGCGAGAGACTCACGGGACGCGACGCGCCCCGCCTCCCCCGTCCGGTCCCTCTCGCTATGGTGAGGGGTAAGTGATGCGCTCGGCTCAGCCGCCTGGCTTAGTGATGGTGATGCAGCCGCTGCCGCCGCCGCCGCCGCCTCCCCTTCTCCAGATACTCTTTCCCGGAGAGCCCCTGGTGTGCGGCCGGGTTTTCAGAGTGGGGGGGAGTGCAGCTGGATGGAAAAGGGGGAGGGGTGCTGCTTTCCGGATGCTCCTCGCGCCGCGGCCCCCCCCCCCGCCCGGGGGATTCGGCAGCCCCGCCTCCGGCCCCCCCTCCCCCCCCCCCCGCTTCCTCTATTCCCTCCGGGCTCAGCCCGGCTTTGCTACCCCGGGCGGCCTCCGCTGCTGCCGGCTGACTCCTCCTTCAGTAAATGTGCATTTATTCATTTTGTGCTCTCTGGCTTTGTGCCGCTCCTCCCACCGCCTTAGCGGAGGGGCGCGAGGGGACAAATTGGCGGGCGGGAGGGAAGGAGCTGTGAAAGGCTATGATACGGGGAGGGGTGAGACTGGTGCTGGGATTGGATCTTTGAAAGAAATTGCTCTTGTGTGTGTGTGTGTGTGTGTGTGTGTGTGTGTGTGTGTGTGTGTGTTGGGCGGGGCGGGGCGGGGGCACTTTCTGTCGTGAAAGAAGGGGTATAGAAGACCTTCTGTCAAGCACACACTTGTCTGTGATTGCATCCCCCGATATACTTACCCCTACCTAAACCGGAGGGAGGAGACAGCCTTCCTTGTCAGTTTCATTGTCCCCAAGATGCTCCTGTTGGGTTTTGGTATGGTTCCTTCTATATTATGCCCAGTATGGAATTGGAGGTTATGGGACTTATTTCTACATTACATAAGCATTTTACTACGTGTGCGTCTTGTCTTTATTCTGGATTTCTTTTGTTTGTTTTTCTAAAGCTTGTAAGCCTCAGGAGGGCAGGGACCGATTATTTGAATTTCTGGAAGTATTGTAGTGCCTAGTATAAAAGCTACTTGATGAAATTAAGCTCTACAATAGGCCCAACAATAAATAGTTTGTTTTCTTTTGTTTTCCTGTTGTGTGGGTAATATACTGGGTAATCCTTTTTTGGAAGAATTCTTTTGTTTCATTCTAAAATCAGTCCTGTCAAAAGAGTATACTTGACTAGAAATATTTCTGTTTCTCTCATTGCTGTTTGTGTGTTTATTTTAGTGAAAAAACACCGGGTGACAGGGAAACAAATAATATCTAGATGAAGTTTTTCATTATTTCATTCCTAAATATTATTATTACTGAATACTGGCCAGATAGCAAATAGAAGGAAAGGAAGAAAGGATAAAGCAGGATGAGGAACTGTTCTAGGAAGAAACCAAGAGAAAGGGGGAAATGATATTTTGAACTGGCGATCTAGGGTTGTCATCGATTATGAAAATACCAAATGGATGAAGAACATATTTCAGCCATTATGTGAAAGCCAGGTTTGCAGTTATTACTTTCTAACCTTGAAGACAGTTGCGGTGTAGTAGAATAATAGACTCATAGAATGTTAGCAAGGGACCTTATCATGTACACAGTCTCTCCATTTTGCAGATGAGGAAATGGGCTCAGGTATATATATATTTATATTCTGTCCAGGATCTTTTGAGAAATTAATGGCGGACTCCACAGTAGCATTTAGAAATTCTTTTTTTTTAGTTCTTGTGCCTTTTTTTTAACCTCTTTAACACAGTACTGTCTTTACAGAAGTTGAACTGAATTTTTGATTTAATACAAAGGAATTCTTCATGTGCATTTTTTTATTTCAGTACAGTATATATTCTTTATATTATCTTTCATATTCACAATAATTGATAATGATTCAACATTTAAACTTTTTTTTAATAGAAAACCAAAATTTTAGACAATGAAATTAGGTAAATAAGATTTATGTGTAGACATCAATGACTTGTAGAAAAATTTGTTCTAGTCCTCAAATGGACTTTTATATGAAGATGATTTGTTATATATGCTCAACTCTACTAGAAGTGATCTGATCTTGATCCTCCATTACCTGCCCCCCATTCCCCCCAGATCTTTGATGTTTTTGGTGTAGGGAACTCCCCTTACAGGAAATTTCCTGGACCAATGCAGATTAGAAGTTCTGTAACTAAAAGTCTTAGAGCATTGCCTGAGGCACTGAGAGATTAAATTACTTGGTTAGGTCACACTGAACACTGGGCTAGGAGTCCTTGCCTCTCTATGGTAATATAATGTTTGCAATTTTAGCAACCATATTGAAAGCATAAGAATCAAAAATAAATTAAACAAGGCAGCTAATTTATCTCTGACTAGATAATAGTAATAGCTAGTATTTTTATAGAGCTTTAAGGTTTGCAAAGCACTGTACATATGTTATCATTCAATTTTCTCAACAGTTCTGTGAAGCAGATAACATTATTAATATAAGATAACTGAGACTGAGAAGTTTCAGTGATTGACAGGTAATAAGCTTCTAAGGTAGGGAGAAGAAAGAAAAGTCCAGAGAGTGAGAAGTAGTTTGGGGAATGGAATGAGCATAGCAGGAGTTCTTCATGAACATCTGAGCCAGGTACTCACCGAGAGGGATGATGAATCATTCAAGATTTGTACTTAGTAATTTGTTGAAAAATAAATACTAAAGCATAGTAGGTCATTTCAGTCTGTAAACTGTATGCATTTTACTGATTATGTTTTTACATGTTATATTGTTTTGGGATTTCCCTATTTCTGAATGTGTACCCTTTAGTAACTTATGATTTTTCCTGAGTAAATTGCCTAAGATATCAGTGCAAGAAATTTCTGTGTAATTCTATATTCACAGTTTTATCACTTGGGAATTTTATGTTTTATTTCCTTGGAATTCAGTAATTATCTCTTTGTTCTACTTTTAGTTTTATCCTGATGAGAGGTACAACTTCTTAGCAGGATTCAACATGTGTATTAAATATAAACGTTATGGTTTAGAATTTTTAAAAACAATATCATGCATATTGCTTTGATTTATTTTGTGTGATTATTCCTGACTTGGAGAGGTGCCTAGGAGGAATGGACTGAGTCAAGAAACTTCGTTTTGATTACTGACTGGTACTTTATTAGCTGTGTGATCTTGAGCAAGGAAATTGAGAATAGTACTTGAACTACCTTACTTAACAGGGTGGTTGTAAAGAAAGTGTTAGTCCACAAAGCATTATATGAGTTCTTAATATTATTTTTCTTTTTATCTTTTAGAATTAGAATGGATATAATTGAGATATCACATAGCAACAAGCTATTGTCACTTTAATCATATTGTATATTGGGAATTTGAAGCTGATGCTTAGGTTCTTTTTAATAGAATTAGTTTTGTAACAAAATGTTTATTTAAATTATGAAATCACCCAAATTTTCTTTTCTTTTTTAGTATTTGGATTTAGTAACTTCATAATTTACCATTTGTAAGCTTTCTGGTTAACACAAAGAACATAATATTTGATTTCTGAATTTTACTGTTTATCTGGTAAGTTGTATTTCACAATTTGCAAAAAAAACAAATTGACACAAGACTAAAACAGTACATGGCTACTACTTGATGGGTAATAAATAGGTTAAGTAGTACAGTACTACAGATATTACCACCCACCACCCCTAGAATGAGAGCTTTTTAAAGGTTAAAAAAAAAAAGATATGTTCTTGGATGGAACTGTGATCTCCTATGTGAGTGGTCCCTCCAACAGCACAGATTGCCACGTATCCAAAGGTTTTCTCATACTGTGCAGCTCTCCTTTGAGATTTTATGTGCCTACAGGCTGTCCATGTGCTTATCCTCTCTTCCACATTTCTTTGATCATTTCCTTTGATCCACTTCTCTTGTAAAGTTCTTTATTGGTAATATGCTGAAGCCTACTTGGGCCCATCTTGTGCATCTCCATTACTCTCATAAGTAACCCCAAACCATTGTTCTTGGGAAATGGTGGTCTTTGAAGACTCTTTTTTTAAAAATATAAATTTATTTATTTTTAGTTTTCAATATTTACTTCCACAGGATTTTGAGTTCTAAATTTTCACCCCCTCTCACCCCTCCCCCAGATGGCATGCATTCTGAATATCCCTTCCCCTAGTCTGTCCTCTCTTCTATCTCTCCCCCCCTTCTCTTATCCCCTTCCCCTTCTATTTTCCTGTAGGGCAGGATAGAATTCTGTACCCCATTTCCTGTATTTCTTATTTCCCAGTAGCATGTGAAAACATTTTTTTTAAACATATGTTTTTAAAACTTTAGGTTTCAAATTTTCTCCCTTCCTCCCTCCCCACCCACACTCATTGAAAAGGCAAGCAATTCAATATAGGTTATACATGTGCAGTTATGTAAAACACTTCCATAGTAGACATGTTGTGAAAAACTAACTCTGTTTCCCTTAATCCTATCCTGCCCTTCCATTTATTCTATTCTTTCTTTTGACCCTGTCCCTCCTCAGAAGTATTTGCTTCTGATTGCCCCCTTTCCCAATGTGTCCTCCTCTCTATCATCATCCCCCTGCTCTCTTGTTCCCTTCTCCCCCTCTTTTCCTGTAGGGTAGGACAAATTTCCATGCCCAATTAAATGTGTATGTTATTCCCTCTGTAAGCCAAATCCTATGAGAATAAGATTCCCTCATTCCCTCTCACCTTCCCCATTTCCCCTCTACTGTAAGAGACTTTTCTTTTTTGTCTTTTTTTTGTGTGAGATAATTTACCCTATTCTACCTTCTCCCTTCTTCTCCGAGTATAATCCTCTCTCATCCCTTAATTTTATTCTCCAGATATGACCCCTTAATATTCTGCAGATATGACCCCTTAATTTTGAAGACTCTTAACACTTCAACATCACCTGAAGAATATGGATGCTAGAAAACGGACCTTTGTTTCAGAGAGAAATTTGGGTTACTAAAAGAACTGTGCAAAAGATAATCTCTAGCCCATCAACAAGCATTTACTATATCCTGTATTGAGCATTTACTATATCCTAAGCACTGGATATTCAAGAAAAAGCAAAAACGTTTCCTGCTTCTTAAGAGCTTACATTCTAATAGGG